TTCCGCCCCGGTATTTGCCGAGAGTGACGACAACAGTACAGCCGTTATTCATATTATGCAAGTCTTTGTGAGAGTGGGCGCAGAAGTCCAGACACGCGGTTACGCCACTGAATGGCCGCCCAATGCCATCACCGATACGACAGTCGGAGCCATCGCTTTCAAACGTGATCTACAATTAAACGCAATTATTAAATTAATTATTGGCATCCAATCCGTCACCTGATTATAGTAGGCGTCTGGCGCTATGGCCTCATACAGTGGCGCCAAACCAGTGGCCAATTTGTCCAAATGGTATTCGAGTTCGTATTCCTAATGATCATTGAATTTCATGCCATAAATTAATTGTTATTAATAAACAAATAATTGAAAAACATATATATTTTACTTTTCAATTACAAAATGTGTATTTTAATGATAATTGTGTTCAAAACCTGATTCCGTTTTTTAAGCCGAAATTTGCGGACGTTATGCCTCTGACTGTCCCTGAATTTGCAGCCGTCCCTAAACATAGACCAACTGCACCCAAATGAATAACAGGCCCCACGTGTCCGCTCATTCACGCCCTGACAGCCGCACGTCTTCCTGTAATCGCGAGATTGGGAGCCAAACAAACAAATGAAAAGTTTTGGTTCAACTAAAACAACACAAAACTATAATAATTGTGATTACGAGTCGTTTTGAGCGCAACGTCTTTGCGTAGATATTCCGTATTCATTGACTTTATAGACAATTATATCGTATAATTTGTCGGCAAAACACCGATCGATCGCATCCCAGACCACAATCGAGACGATTATATAAGTTTGCGAACATTTGTGGCCTTTTCGGTACCGGACGAGAGCCAACACCAGCTCCTGATCGTTGGCCCGTCTCAGCACAGACTTGGCTATCGGACAGCCCTCACGGGATTTGCCCTCTTTCTCCATATAGACAACAATCTCTATTCGTACGGCCCGTCCATACAAACCCATTCTGATGTGTGACAAAGTCAATCATTACCATCACTACCACGACATGTATTTCATAGAATATTCTTTGTTTTCTATTATGCAATACAAACCTATTTTCCAGTATTTTTCTGATGCCTTCAATGGATGCGGAATATCCTAATTGCTTATAATAGGGAATATTGGATACTAATGGCCGACAGCCGGGAATTGAAGCAATTATTCAATGAGTTATTTCGTTATTCACATAATTCATGCCAAAGTTTATTTACTCCGTTTGGGATTTGATGCAACCGTTTTGCGTAATATATAGTGTTTTGCAATAACTCTTCGCTGTATCTCATAATCACATGCTTTTCATAACATAAGTCGAAACTCAAAATCGTTATATTCTTTGACTAAAGACATGAGTTTTGTTGATGACATGCCAGACATGACAACAGATTACCGAATCAATCAATCAGACAAACCATCGATGAAAAGCGAGGAGAGAGAGAGA